AAAATGCATGGTGTTCAAGTAAATAGAGAAAAGTGTAATACATTTCAAAAATATAAAAATAATTCAAGAACAAATGAAAATTCTAGAACTGAATAAATAATGATTAAAATTAAGCATAATTTAATTAAGGACTAAGGGCAAGATGGAATTCAAGAGTTGAAAGTGTTTAAGAAAGAAGGAGTAGCTACGGGCGTAACATAGTTCTAAGAAGTTGAGTAAGTTAAGATGTAAGAAACAGTCAATGGATGTGAAAAGATGGTCTCTTTTGAACTTGGTGAGACCTATATTGTTAAATGAAAGAGAAGAATTCAGATTGGACTAGTTCAATGAGATCTAGTAATTCTCTAATCATGGGTTTATAAAGCGAGTCATTAATCTTGATGGCATTCCTTACAACATGCCCTAGTTTGTGAGAGCAGAGGAATGACTTGAGTACTTTTTAAAAGACTTAATTGTGGTATAATCTGGAACAGAGTACTTCAGAAGATTGGAATGCTCTCTTATAACACGTTGTATCAGCTTTAAAACACCTGTCAGAATAGTGTCAACCCTCTATACCATTGGCTGGGAATTGACATATGAAAATAGGAGTAACTGTTCTATGTATACGTGAGAACCCACATAATAAATTTGTGCTTCTTGCTTGCTAAGTTTTGGTGTGTTTGGAGGTCCCGGTGCTGAAGGTTGTAATGTTTCCAACCAAAGAACATAGACATGTTTCTATTAAACTTGAAATTGAGGCAGGTCACTACTGGCAATTGTGTGCTGCTCGTGCCCCTAAAACAACCAGTAATAGTGTTCGACATGAAGGATTCAAACACTAAGTGCATCTTGGGCTGTGGCTACACAATAAGGCAAGCAGAATTATATGTGGAACCCAAGGATTAACTGAGGTATCTCTTTCTGCTCTCTTTATCAAGGGAACAGGCAATAGAAAGGTATGGTAGCTCCACGTAAGCAGGATTACTGAAGACTCAGGTCCTATAAGAATGGACATGAGGGTCAAATGATAGTAAAGAAAGTGCTTGCCTTTTCATCTGGAACAACAAGAGTGAATGCTGAGGGTAAAAGAGATTAGCAATGTTGGATATTCTGTTTGTTCTTCCAGATCTACTCTCTACCATTCTAATCCCCTTGCAGTGCCTTAGAATGCGGACATCTATGTACAGTATCCCTGGACACTATTGTCCTGAAGTTGTAGGTACACTTGCGCTAATAGAAAGAATAGACAAAGAGCCAACGCTGGGAGAATCCTTCCCTACAGAACTAGGATACGGCTACACAGTTGTTTTCCCAAAGAATGTACCTCCAGGGAGGCAGCCTTTTCCAGCAATAACTTCCACTGCCTCAGTTAGTTGCCACCAGCCTTGTTCTCTCAGGCCTGAAGGTAGTAATAATGACTCCCACAGTAGTTAGCCCTGGAAGAGTTCACTATTCCCCATTGGTTTCCTTTGATCTTATCCACATCTTGAAAATTGTCCCATTTTTTTATTCTCTTCAAACCCCTCTTATACTGTATATCCTTTTTTTCATTTTGGATCCCAACTGTGAGTTTCTTTTTGTACTTGAGTTTATCATCGTGACCTCTTAACTCTTAAATTATGACTCTGAAGGTACGTGTCTTAGAATTTTTGTCACCATTTTGTCACCACTTCACTTCTATTTCTTTCCTTTGTTTCCATTGTACCAACCCACAAAAATATAAGTAATTTATCTTTTATGTCTAATATTGGAAGACATTTGGAGTTATGTCTGAAGATCATCTCTTAGTATTTGACTAGAATCGAGACTGATAACAGGCTGTGAAGGACACTACCAGTAAATAATCCCAGATCTCAGCTTATTCATGTGGAAATAACCATTTTAGCTAGCATTAAACCAAATACTTTGTATGGAGTTTTGGTTATTTAAATATTTTCGTCAAGTAAGAACACACTGTAAACTAGATTTTTAATTTTTCACTTGCTGCCCCTGCCAATTCATTGCATACTCTGCTCTCCATAGAGATGACAACTTTCCATGTGAAACAACAGAACGATATAACACAGAACAGGCTGTGCCTGTGTGGTAGCTGGCTCCCACTCTCCCCCAAACAGAGAGATACTTTAACTCATTCATACTTTATTCTTCCACTGTATATTTAGTTAGGTCCTATGTTGGAAACTGGGGCACTAAGCTAGATTATTTATATTTCTGTTACCTTTTATATATTATTAAATGCTTATTTTTTTCTCTTAGAATATGGAGATTGACCATGTCGAGAGAGAGAGAAAGAAGAAAGGAAAGAAGAAGGGAAGGTAGGAAGGAATCATATATATAAGAGCACTATGAGATACAAAATAAAAAGTAAAAGCCTCTGTCTCTCATCTTGTTTTGCTATCCCATTGAAAATAAAAT